CTCCCGTCTAACAGCCATGAGATTAAGAGTGTGATCGGAGAGTTTTTGTGTTCTTCTGCGGCGGGTCTTGCAGAACTTAGCTCCGACCGCATGGACAGTTTCCACGAGCTTGTCATTCATATCGTCCACTGCATTGCAATCTTGTAGGCACTGAAAGCGGTTGTGTAACTCGAGCTGAAAGTTTTCGGGATTCTGGATTAGAGCACGAGGGGGACGGAGCGTTGACTTCATTAGACGAGACCTCTCCAACTTAACGTTTAGGTTCAGTGTGCCTCTAACCATTCGGTGATCGCTGCCAGTTTTCACCCTTGCGATCACTGCGACATCACTGAACAGTTGGCGTCTGGTCGTCATAATGAAGTCAATCTCATTTTTTGTCGAACCGTCGGGGCTCGACCAGGTCCACTTCCTGTGGGGCCGCTTCTGGAAGAAAGAGTTCATCATAAAGAGTCCCTCTTTCTCCATAAAGTCGGCCAGCTGCTGGCCCCTTCGGTTCCGTTGCCCTATTCCAAATTTCCCTAACTTCAGCTCACCGTTTTCTCTTGTGCCTAGTTTTGCGTTGAAGTCTCCCATCAACACCGTGTAGTGGGTTTTGGAGGAATGCATGGCTTTGGAAATATCCTCATACATTTCCTCCCCCTCCTCATCGGAATGTGTCGAGGTTGGTGCGTAAACCTGTATGACCTTCAGCGAATACCGTTTGGTGATTCTGAGTATCAGGTACGCGACCCTCGTCGACACACTCCCAATCTTTACAACGTTGTTGACGAGAGACTTGTGGACGATAAATCCGACACCTCCTTGGGACAGATGGTCGCCCTCCCGGTGATAGAACAAGTTGCCGGATTCGAGAATCACCGTGTCCTCCCCCTCTCTTCGGACCTCGGATAATCCTATAATACTCCAGCGCAACTTGTCTATCTCTTCTTCCAGCTCCAGGATCTTCTCGTCAGTCCTCAGTGTGCGTGCGTTAAATGTTGCCAGGTCGAGTCGTCGTAGGTGGCAACCGAACCTCCACCGGAGATTCTTAGCACCCCCTGCCCCGCCGTTACCATGGTCGCCACCGTAGCCAGGAATAGCGGAGCCGCCGGGGACTGGGGGCCGTCTATTTGTGTAATTGTTCATGGGGGGGTATATTGCCATAGTTGCCACGCTTGGCGAGCGGGTTGGCAACCGCAGTTTTTTTTTTTTTTTTTTTTTATCGTACAGTTGCTGTTATCAGGAAGATGCTGCTGCCCATCTCCTGCCTGTCTCCCTCTGTCGCCTTTTACGACACCCACGGGAAGATATGGGGTAGTGGATATTCTTAACCGCCACTACACGGCACTACACGGCACACACTCTATCTAAGTGCTCAATCAATAATATCAACTAATAAAATAACTCGTAAACTGTTTCAAACTATTTCAAACTTCCTGCGCGCTCCTCTTTACTAAGCAGGACATGACCTCATAGCATATAATATGTAACGTCAACACATAGCATTTTACTTTCAATTCGAAATATACTGGACTGTCAAAATTAATGAAAGCAAGGAGTTGATTTTGTCGTCTCTCTTGCACGCGTTGGCTTTTTACCGGGCTTTCGAGAAGATGATTGCCTTTCTAACCTGTGGCAAAATATTCTATGTTATTATTAATTAAATATAACTACGAAATGTTTATATAGCAATTACTATGGAACCAAAAGCTGGGCCTTGCCCTGAAGTTGTTTAGTTTAGCTCTGCGTTATAGTGGGGGTGCAGGCAATTCGTTTGCAAGTTCACTTCACATTTCAATGTTTATGTTTGTTTTTGTTGTGTCTGTTAAAAATTTGTTTTTTCAAAGATTTTTAGTGAAAATGTGAGGATAATAGTGTTCCTTGTGATGAATATAAGTGTGTTAAAGTGCTATTCGGCGAGGAAAAGTTAAAATCTTTAAAAATGAAAATTGAATTCAATAAACATTTCTTCACACTTTAATAGGTACAGGACTCTTTAGTATTAAAGTTTAATTAATCTAGGTGTATTTAAAGGTTTAATAACTTAATACTTATATTACCATATGAGTTAAAAATATCATTTTGAATTGCAGCATAAAATATGAGATACCTAGGTATAAGTTTAATTTTATAGCAAACAATTCTTATAACTTTTTTTTAATATGAAGCCCAAATTTTAATGTAATAAATTAAATGAATACATGTATTGAGCTTTTTAAAGAATATTTGCTTTAGTCCATCAGTATATAAATTTTTAATAGCACCATCTACTTAATTCTATAGGTGAAGTCATTTTATCGAATGAAAATTGATTGATTCTCACGGTGTAAAGATTACACTAGATGGCCTTAAGAGTTAAAAATATCATTTTGTACGGTTTATTAAAATTGCAAATGAATAATTATATAACAAATAGTCATTATTTTATGGTAAAAAAATTTGCAAAGCTTTATCTTCTCATAATACCATATCTAATTCTTGTCTTAATGTGTTCTATACATATAACTTATACAAAATAATTTCGATGTTTCACATCTGCCAGGTGTGAATTTGAAACTAAAAAGTGGAGACAGATCAAGATTGGTGTATTTTTATAAAACTGCTAAAAACAACAAAACTATATCTTGGGCTTGCCCTAGTTTGGATCCCTAGCTTCGCCACTGGGCTCTCTATATACCCTTCAGAACCATAAAATAGCCGTGCAAGCACAGCTATTTGGCGACAGCAAAATGAAAAAGTGGTACCTATTCAGAGAATAGAATAATTTTTATTAATAGTAATACTTATTGAAAGTCATTGTAACTTTTTTCTCTGGTTAGAAAAAATCTCTGGCTTGTGAAAACCAACAAAAAACCTAGTGGAACTTTTTTTTACAATCAGTTTAGTTCTTATGAGTGGTAAGTCAATGACGAAGAAGAATTTCAGTCATATAACATCTATGCACTTTCTCCAAAACATTATTGTAAAATATCTGATACATTATTATAAAATAAATCAATATTTTCATTTTACCAATTATCTAATTATTTTGTTGTAACCTCTCACTTAAGCATTTAATATTCAACCATATAGAATAAAATAACCATATTGAATATTTGTTGCAAATCATAAATTCATCAATAATTGATGTTTTTAAATGAAATATAAAGTCCATCCAAAAACTTGCTCAAAAATATTTGTTCATAGAAATATTCATAAAAAGAGTAAAATTGGGTGTTTAACTGTTACTTAAGACTCCAGTGATTAAAGGATAATTCCAATAATAAAAAATAATGCTGACAGATGCTTTGTCAATTTAAAATGCTGCAATTCACTTCAAAGAAAGTGCTGCTGTGTTTCGGTGTGGTCAGTGTAGAGAACCAGAGACCCTTTTTACTAGAATCAAGGCATTCCATCTTAGTTCTCAGGGGTGACAATGCATTTGCATTTTTATTATTAATTGAGGATAAATGTAGATATCTATGGGCCAAAGCATTCACTTACTATCAGGTGAACTGTGCTCGTTTGTCACCCAATGCTATATAAAAAAAAGTATTTGTCATGTGAAACAAAATAGCGCATGCACAAATCGGTGTCATGTCAATAATTTGGGTCTCAATTTTATTTTGTGAGGAACTCCTGTTGTTTCCAATCATAACTGAGTTTGTTTCATTGTAATATTGTTTAATTTAAATGTTACACCTTTTTGTTTAGAGAGAGGTTCTTGTAGCGAACAATAATTTAAAACTGCCATAAAAAATGAAAAAAAGTGATTTTTTAAAACTTTTGCCATCAATAAAATTAAGCAGTTTCCCTAATTTGAATTTGTGCACATTATGAAGACTAACACTGTATATACATACAAATAAAATTTAAGTGTCCATAAACATTTCTAAAATTTTTGTCTATCTGCTTGTCTAGGCTAATCTATGAAATGGGTGATTCAATTGTAATGATATAGAAGAGATCAATTCCAGGAGTGGTGTAGGCTATATTTAATTTTATAAATATAGAGTATTTTTTGTGATATAAATAAACTGGCAAAATTTATTATTTTATAAAAATTTTGTTGGATGCAAGAAAAGTTTCAAACAAAACTCTTTTATTTGCAATTCTACCACAAAAAAAGGTATTTTATATTATCTCTATGCTTAACATTACGAAGCAATATCCCATACTGACAATTTTAAAACACAAGTATGAGTGTTTAAGAGGCCGGTCCTTAAGAAATGCACAAATTGACAGTTATGATGATATATATTTTAAAAATATTAATGAACTTCCTTCATTGAACAACGGCAAAAAAATCTCAATAAGTTAATAGACAAGTCTTTACTTACACTGTGTGATAATATTAATTGTTCAAACCACTGTCATTGTTAAATCTGTTTTAATGTTTATTTTTTAGTTAAAGATTATCTATGAAACCCACATATAACATCCATATAACAAAAAACATTGATAATAATAATTTAAATTTCTTCATAAACAAAAAAAATAATAGTTAACATAATACCTAGAAAGCATACCTATACCCTACCCTTTGCCGACGCCTACTCACTATGGGCATGCAGACTTTGCTATAAGACAAGCTAATGGCTACCTACAATGCATGTTTTCTGTGACATTCATTAACATTCGGAGACCAACAGGTGATGAATAGGTAACTTGTGCAAAGCACCGAAAGTAATTTATTCATGTCTAGGGTGCATATTATGCTAACACTGCTTGATACATTTGTGCGACTAGAAAATATCAATGTGGGAGTTCTTTAACAACTTCCCACGCTCAAGGACTATGGTCTTAAGAATTAGTTGTTAAGCTAAGCCTTTTTGAGATAAAATTTAAAAATCTCAAAATGTAACTATATCACATCAACGAGATGAAGTTAAGACTAACATTTGTAAATACATGGTATCCAAAACTGTGTCACCTCATCCCAAAACATCTACTTAGAGAAATTACTAGTATGTGCAACAGTGTTAAATAATTAATTATTTTAAATTATTAATAGGTGAGAACAGTATCAAATTTTAACGAATTTAACGAGAGAGATGTTTAAAACTCACCTGGTTCCTGATAGCAGCCACAGGTGTCAAGCCAAGCTGATTTTGCCCTTGCAAGAACTGATTTGTAGCGGGGGCAAGCATTCCTGCTTGGCTTAAATACATTAAATGTTCAGCATTCTTTCCTATTCCATTCATGGCTTGCATTGGATTAGCATGATGTGGATGTAAATCATACAGGCCCTGCTGTCCCATCTGTGGTGCATTCTGTATTCCTTGCAATGGTGGCAACATCATTGCACTATTTTGGATTGTCAAGTTATTGCCTATAGTATGGTTTTGCAGTGGTGCTAGTTGTGTATGGACCATGCTAGTAGCCAAGTGAGCAGGGTGACTTCCAATAACTGATGGATTCATAGCAAGTGTGCCCACAGATGAGGCTATAGCTTGATTAATATATTGTTGATTTGTTTGAGAGCCTTTCAATTGTACAGCCCCCTGCTGATGCATGTTATTCATGGACATAGGTGTTGGGTTTTTCCATTTGTCTTGATTCTGAAAACATATATTATGATATTTTAAATCCAAAAGTATAAAAGCTGAATGTTTATTTTATTACATTGTTAAGCCATAATTGTGTTGATGACTTAAAATTAATACATTAATCATAGACAGCACACAATTAAAAAATTAATAGAGAACTAAAAACAAACCTCTGACATTGTATCATCACCAACCGCCCAGCGTTGTTTAGGGGCTAAAGAACAGGTAGGTAGTTCTCCTTCTTGTGGATCTCGCTGAAAAACGTAATGTACACCAGCATCATCTTGACTGCGTGTTTGTGGAGCGCGGGCATTTTGCAAACCTGCTTCGCCCGCCTCTTCTTCAGCACCTGTACCCGGCCACTTCATTGGACTACCGTGAGGTTCGAGCATTCAGTTTCTCAACGTTTCAATCGTTCACAACCGTAAAGAAAGAAATTCTCACGATCTTCAGTATATAATTATATATAATAGCGTTACTTTCAACGCTATTCAAATCAAATGTATATGATATTATTTTACATGATACAATAAACTACATACGACAATCGGATCTCATGATAAAACCATTTGAAGGTTTGTACACTTTTTATTGCCTTTGTAATGACAGAAGTTTAATCGAAGCACGATGACAGCCGCCAAAGGAAACCAAAATATTGCCTGATATACAACTATATTTCCACGACTCAAAAACAAAGGCAGACAATGAAACGGTTTAATTTTAGGTACAATTTTTACAAAATTTCGAAATTCAGACGATTTGTACAGCGTATCAACGTACAAATTCCTTAGAGTAAGCAATTTGTCGGCATCGAGAACTGAACTGAATAAACACTCAAAATAATACACTATTCACACAATTTCTAAACAAAACGACCACAAATATAATTACTATATGTACACAGGACTATTTACAATGTACAATTTTTACAAATAACCCGATTTATGCCATTGGCTACTGTCGATACTTTCCGATTCAAAAGAGACTACAAGCATCCTTTATTGCCAGTCCGCCATAGTCGGTCGGGCAGATGCGATGCGCGCGCAACGCGCAAAGCTATACTATAAACATAAATAAATACACCCTCAAACGTTCCTTTCGGGAGATAATTAAAGTCAAATATTAATTATTTTAATACTAAGGAAAGGAGTTATTCCTAATATGATATACACTTTTATAAAGACCGTAAAATATCGACAACCCTTGACCACACTACAATTCATATTTTTAAATCAAAAGAAGTTTAAAATTAGATTGATCAAATGTGACAGTAATAAAACGTATAATGGAACGAACTTATAATCTTAAAAACAAAGCCTCTTGTCAATGGTCTATCTTTTCTTTCATTGCTAAAGTACTCTGTGGTTATTTTAATTTAGTCTATATAAAAAAACTGGTTTCCCACCCGATTGCCAACCCGCTTGCTTGCCAAGCGTGGCAACTGGTGGCAACTATTGTAAATATATATTATATATAATATATCAGGTAATCTATTGAGGAGGCTTACCATTCGGCACCGGACTTTGATAGGCTGGAACCATGGAGATTAGAGAACAGGAGAACGATCGCTATAGAAAATAGCATCCCAGAAATATGGACAAAACAATAAGCGCAGCGATCGCTAAGTTGTCTCAATAAAAGCGGGCTGTTGTGTACTAGTTTGAAATTATTATTATATCTTTTTTTAATTATTATTATTTATTAATAAATAGGTATGACATGGACATTAAACATGATCTTTGTTTTGTCCATGTTCATCTTAACCTCCTCACTACAGGGACCACTTTTTATGTCAGATCAGATTCAATTCATATTTGGGATTTAAGCTGTTTAAGGGTTACTTTTTAACTGAAAAATTACTGAAAAAAATCTATTCCCGTAACAAAGAGTTTTTCCTTATGTCCTGCCACTAGGACAGATGCAGGCTACTTAAATTTTCAGGACTATTTTATGTTCTGCATACAAGACAATTACAGCCAATGTGAGTATATTATTGTGTGATGAAATAAGATAAGCCCATAAAGTACTCAATTTTTTTATTGAAAAGGCATATTATTAAACTTTAAACTTAACTTCTTCGTTATTTATTTTGAACAGATAATATTTTTATAACATTACTTATTGATTTAAATTGTACATAAAATCAGTCTCAATAAGCCAGTCATCAACGGTTATAGAATCATATCTAGCATACAAACAATAAAAATTGACGCCATTTGCGTAGCTATAATTGAAAAATAAGAAAATAAAGCCTCTGAAAATAATTATGGATTATGAAAAGCTTTAAAACAGTTTCTCTGAGTCGTGAAACATAAATACACAGCACATTTTTTGCTGGTAACTGTAGTTTTTTTATAACAACCCTCATTTCTGCATCTATTTTGCTTTGAACTGTGTTGTGGCATGTGATTAGCTTTTCTTTGACGAATAGCTTTAGTTGGTAACTGGACTATAGTAGTCTTACGTTTCTTGTGCTTTGGTAAAAGTTCTTCAAACTCATCAGCAGGGTCATCTGTGTCTGTAGAATCTAAGTTATCAGCAATTAACTTCCCACCAAGTTCCATCTTAAATTCACGTATGCCTATAACGTTTTTAACGCCTTTTTTATTCTCTCTCTGTTTTAACTGAAGGTGTGAGTTAGCAACAGCCAAGTCTATCATATGAGAAATTACTCGTATTGTCCACTTTTTTGTTCTGTTACGTGAAGGGCATACAGTTAACATTCTATCAACAAAATCTACACCCCCCATATTTTCGTTATATTCTTTGATAACTTCGGGGCGACTTACACGTTCATACACTTTGTTTTTCTTCAACCATCTTTCACACTCATCTGCATGTCTATTAGATAAACGCGTTGACAACATCACCACGGGCTTATTGTCCATCCAACGTGTCACTGCCATCTTGCCATCTACTCGTGTTTTTATTTCGCAATAACCCCGTTGTTTTTTCATAAAACTCTTATCTTCTTCCATCATACAGTTTTTGGGAAATCGGTTTCTCATAATTGTTCCAGTCGCGTGAAAACCTTTATTCAATAATTCATCACACAATTTAATAGTGGTAAAATAGCGATCAAAAAAGATGTGGTGACCAGGGTCAAGTGCTTCAGCCAGCCGAAGAACAGCTGCTACTCCGAGACCAAACCCATGTGTCTAATTTCTGGAAAAGTTGTGTCTCCTTGATATATCTCGAAATCTATAACCATTCCCTGAGGCGTTGCTAAAACAAATACTTTTAACCCTAAGGGATTAGGTTTGTTAGGGTTATATTGACGAATACAACATTGACCAGTAAACGGAATGATCATTTCATTAATAGACATTTTTACTGTGCGAGATTGAAGTAAACATCCTTGTCGTACTTTCTCGAAAAGGGGACGCACTTTCCAAATCTTGTCTTTTTGACGCTCTTCGACGGTAACATCAAGATCATAAACCACTTTTAACGACGTTCTAATTACGTAAAAACGCAGACGTGTCATAGCTGATGTTATGATAGGCTGTTTCCATTTAGACGACCAATACATGTCTATTTGAGGATATTGTAGTGAAGCCATAATCATTGTCACTCCAATATAAACTTTTAATTCTTTAACTGTAAGACCAAGTGACCTGCCTTTTACATGAACTGCTGTTCTGTTTGTACAATCCACAATTTGTAAGAGTATTTGTTCATGTGTATGAGTATTTGTTCAATTAAAGTGGGCTTAAAGAAGCTGTTCCTGCTAGGGGTGTACGCCCCAGACATGTCTAAGCCCACTTACATCCGAGAGCAGTTTTGGGACATGGTAAGGATGGTGTTGACAAAATGTAAGGAAAATGAAAATATTATTATGTTAGGAGACTTTAATGGAAGGGTTGGGGTGAAGAGGACTGGTTATGAAAGGATATTGGGAATGTTTGGTGATGAAAGTATAAATGAGAATGGTGAAGACCTCCTCACCGTATGTGTGGAAAAGAATCTTTTTGTGACGAATACTTTTTTTCGTCATAAGAAGATTCACATGTATACATGGGAAAGAGGTGATGATAGAAGCATGATAGATTTTGTAATTGTGGATGAAAGAATGAGGAGCTCAGTCGTAGATACAAGGGTTTACCGGGGGTTCAACGTAGGGACGGATCATTACTTGGTCTTATGTCGAATTAATGGTCCTTTCAAGCGTTGGCGGCATCGGACATCTGTGTCTACCACTGCGTTACAGCGTATAAGAATAGAGAAAAGTAGTCTCTAAATATAAGTTTTAATGGTTTATGGTGCTGTGGGTGGGTGCGGTCGCAGGCAACCGCTCGGGATTTGACAAACGCATGCGACTGCATGTGGATTTTAAGAGGAATACTACTCATAAATACTACTCACCCTCTCCCACCCTCGCATACACACAAAACTAACACACACACACACACACACACACACACACACTCACAAACACAGGCCGCCGAGCTTCAGCACGTCAAGCAGGTTCTGCACGACAACAAGCTTCGGGTCCCGCGCCTACGTCACAGTGACCGAGTGAAGCCGGCCACAGTTGAGCGTGTGCCTGCTGTACTACCATATTTCAGAGGTGACACAGACAAGATTGGCTACATCTTGAAGCGAGCTCTTATTCCGAGCTTTAATTCCGTCCTCCATGGTGGCACTACTCCGGAGGCGTGAAGCAGAAGTGCGGTGGTCTTGGTTCTTTAAGGAAGGTGACAACGCCCTCTTGAAGAACAGAGCCAACCGATACAGACCGATATCCCTTCTGAGCCGCGTCTATGTGCTGTTTTCGAGAGTCATTACGAATCGTCTCGCACGCAGATTCGACGACTTCCAGCCTCCCGAACAATCTGGTTTCCGAAAAGGCTTTAGTACCATAGACCACATACATACCCTTCAGCAAATTGTACAGAAGTCCGAAGAGTACAATCTGTCACTTTGGCTGGCGTATGTGGACTATGAGAAAGCCTTTGATTCCGTCGAAATTTAGGCGGTGCTGCAGTCTCTTTAGCGGTGCCAAGTTGACTGTCGGTATATCGAAATGCTGAAGTGTTTGTACAGTACGGCTACGATGGCTATCCGAGTACAGAACCAGAGTACGAAACCTATCCATCTGCAGAGAGGTGTAAGACAGGGTGACGTTATTTCCCCGAAACTCTTCACCGCTGAATTGGAAGACGTTTTCAAGCTACTGGACTGGAAAGGATACGGTATTAACATCAATCGCATCGAGTGGTCGCTAAACGGCCACACCGCAAGTCATTTTGGGGGGGAATTGAGAGCCCAATATTAAAAGTCTAAAGAGTCATTTATATCGCGTAATTGGAGATCGAATTCCATCTTTTGAAGAATTAAGTACTGTACTCGCACAAATCGATTGCGTTATGAACATCGTACGTTGTCGAGTGACCCCTTGGAGCCGCTGGCTCTAACTCCAGCACATTTTTTGAATCTAATGCCTTTGAAGAATTTACCCGCTATAGATGTAGATGATGATAAACTCCATGTTTTTTCACATCATGACTTGTTAGACAGGCTAGTGCAGTCGTTTTGGAAGCGGTGAAGAACGGAATATATGCATACGTTGCAATCTCAGCAGAAATGGAACACGGCAACTAAATAGGTACGGAACGGTAGTTATTCTCACCAAAGAAAACGCGCCGCGTCTTCATTAACCGTTAATAGTAATAATAATTTCTTTATTCAGAATTTTTTTAACAAAAATACATGTTGTATTTGCGTCTGCGTCTGAACTAAGCATTAAGCTTGTATCTCAGGCAACAGTGCTCTTTCTTATGGGACAATTAAACAGAAATCTTTCTGATTAAGAAACTTACGTAAACAGATATCAAACACTATTATTTTAAATTATGAAAATTAAACCTAATTATATTAGTAGTAGTTATAATGATTTCTTATATCTACGCGAACACTACACATTGATTAAAACTACTTTTACGGATTTTATCACGATTATTTATTTTATTTTTAATACTCGATGTTTCGGGTGCTTTCCAACACCCATAGTCACGGGGAACTGAGGTGACTGACGTCACGATGTCAAAGTTAACCCCATCTCCCTCTTTATTGAAATTAGGATGTTTTTTAATTTCAATAGCCTCACGTATCATCCTTGGTAGGAATCGATGTTCTTTCGGGAGGGTTTGTGGTCTATCAAAACTGATGTAATGGTTGGGGTCATCTAGGATATAATCACAAAATGCAGACTTCCCGGAACGTTGATGCCTCACGTCAGCTATGTGTTCTTTTATGCGGGTTCTAATTGATTTTTTGTTTGCCCTATATATGAGAGACCAGAATCACAATCAAGCTTCTACACTCCTGCATCTTGTAGAGGAATATTACCCCTGACGGATGGTAAGAACTGACTAACTTCTTCGGCGGCTTGTAGAATGTTCTAATAGAAGCTCGCTTCATCATCATCATCATCATCATCATTACAGCCTTTCACAAGTCCACGGCTGAACATAGCCCCCCCCCCAAGGTATGCCACAAAGCACGGTCCTGAGCCACCTGCATCCATCGACTTCCTGCATGTCTTACCAGGTCGTCACTCCGTCTAGTGGTGCTCGCCCTACACTTCGCCTACCGGTATGAGGCTGCCACTCGAGAACTTTTTTTTCCAACGGTCGTCGGTTCTTCGAGCTATATGGCCGGCCCATTGCCACTTTAGCTTACTAATACGTTGGGCTATGTCGGTCACTCTGGTTCTACTGCGGATTTCCTCATTTCTAAGTTTATCACGCAGAGAAACTCCGAGCATAGACCTCTCCATAGCTCGCTGAGCGACCTTGAGCGTCCTCATACGGCCAGCAGTGAAGGACCACGTCTCGGTTCCGTAGGTCATCGCTGGCAACACGCACTGGTTGTACAACTTAGTTTTCAGGTTTTGAGGTATACCTGACGAGCCATTGATGTTAATACCGTATCCTTTCCAGTCCAGTAGCTTGAAAACGTCTTCCAATGCAGCGGTGAAGAGTTTCGGGGAAATAACGTCACCCTGTCTTACACCTCTCTGCAGTTGGATAGGTTTCGTACTCTGGTTCTGTACTCGGATAGCTATCGTAGCCGTACTGTACAAACACTTCAGCATTTCGATATACCGACAGTCAACTTGGCACCGCTAAAGAGACTGCAGCACCGCCTAAATTTCGACGGAATCAAAGGATTTCTCATAGTCCACATACGCCAGCCAAAGTGACAGATTGTACTCTTCGGACTTCTGTACAATTTGCTGAAGGGTATGTATGTGGTCCATGGTACTAAAGCCTTTTCGGAAACCAGATTGTTCGGGAGGCTGGAAGTCGTCGAATCTGCGTGCGAGACGATTCGTAATGACTCTCGAAAACAGCACATAGACGCGGCTCAGAAGGGATATCGGTCTGTAGTTCTTCAAGAGGGCGTTGTCACCTTCCTTGAAGAACCAAGACCACCGCACTTCTGCTTCACGCCTCCGGAGTAGTGCCACCATGGAGGACGGAATTAAAGCTCGGAATAAGAGCTCGCTTCAAGATGTAGCCAATCTTGTCTGTGTCACCTCCGAAATATGGTAGTACAG